TTGACCTTCTCCAATGTCTAGCTTGCCTTGAATGTACTTGAAAAAGCCTACAGAACTCAACCTGCACAAGCTGAAAATGAAAATGGCAAACCCTGTAAATGGAGTTACAGTTAGTGTTTAAGGTTTGGGATAGTTTAGATGGGTTATGTGGAAGATGTTTGAACCAATTTGGGACAAAACGCACGAGTAATTTGTGTTGTGGAACTCAAACTGCAGGGAATGCCCTGTTTTGCCAATGAGATGTGATTTTGTGCAATGGGAGGTTTTGAAGGCTCAAAGGGTCGTGTTTCTGGTTCAAGGGGATGTGAGAAAGATGTTTCAAAAGCTTGCACAAGTTAGTTTTTGCTAATGTTCAAGTTTTTCTGTTTTGGACATGTTTCTTGTATTTTAAGCCAAAATGCACCATGATGTAATACAAGCCTGTACAGGCTATCTATCAGCCTGCTTCTTCTGATCTTGGCCCCTAAAGTTGATGGATATGCTTTGTTGCACAAGATTTGGCTCTATGCTCAAGGATTGTGGTTTTGACATAAAGCAAGATTTGGCAAAAATGGAAATATTGCTTTTTCTACTTAGGGATTAATCTAATGTGCAATGTTCTAATGACCAAAACAATACCTTAAACCAATGGATTTGCATTTAATCAATGAGTGTGAAATGGTTTTGAGGCCTATAATCTAGTGCAAAGCAAGCTGATTTGAATTTGCAACTTGTATGAACATGAACATGCCATGGATGAAAAGTGAGTTTTTGCCAACTTCAAGCCTTCGATTCTCCCTAACCACAAATTCGTTTGGAGAGTTCTTGAACATTTTGGAAAGCTTACAATATGCTTTACAATCCATCTTTGAAATGTAATTTGAGATTCCAAGTGGAACTATGTGAAAAATGGCCATGAAGATAGGTCAAAATCCTGCCTAAACTAGGGCAAAATTTCACTAAGTTACAAGTTTCATGGTCCCTTGTTCCAAAAATCATAACTTGAGATCCAAGCTTATTTAGAGAAAACTTTGTGAATCAAAGTTGTAGAATTTGTGGAGGAATACAACTTTAATGTTGGAAGTTTTGTTTGAATCCAATTGCATCATGGTGAAAATGTTGGGCAAAGTTAGGAAAAATTAAGAAAATTTCATAACTTTGAAAAATTCTAAGTTATGAAAATTTTCAACTTTAAACCCTAATTTGATTGGGTTTCTTGATGAACAAGTTTCATGTTTTGACATATCTTGATGAAAAATGACCCTTGACACTTGATTTTGACTAAAAAGTCAAAGTTTGACTTTTCAGTGTACAGTCAAATTTGACCAGTTGACTGAAAAATTCATCTGTCAATCCAATGCAATTGAGATCTTTTGAGCTTTGTGAATATGTCAAGATGATGCAATTGAGTCCTAGAGTCCATGGTTGAGCCCAATTTTCTATTGCTAGGTCAAAAGTCGGAAATTGCCCTTGTACAATCAAAACCCTAAAAATGACCATTTTGCCCTTTTGATGATCTGATCAAATTTCTTGAGGAGTTGTGGTCCAAACTTGATCAAATGGTTCATATGAGTTCATAATGTTGATGTGGGTCAAAAATCATGAGGTTTGACTATAAATTGGCCACGGTTGACTTTTTCCCTAATACAGCTGATTTCTAGGTCAACTGTCCAATTGACTGAGCAAAAATTTGATTCAAGGCTTGAAACTTGGTATGGACAAACTTATGAGTCCAACAAGAAGTATGAAAGTAATTTTGAGCATTAGAAGTCCAAAAATCCCTGCGCAAACTCAAACCCTAATTTAGGTCATCAGTGCAAGGAGATGTCTTGAGCAGAGCAAAACCCTAATCCTGTCTGGAGTTCAAGGAGCCTTGTGAGGGGAAATCTTGATAAAATGAGAGGGATAATTTTGGGGTACAATAATCACCAAAAAACTCTATAGAGAAGAGGAGGTGAGAGATGGTAAACTTGACATCATTACAACTATATTCACCCTAAAAAGAAAATTGGGAAGGTGGAACCTCGCCGCTTGGAAACTTATGAACACCTGCCTCCTTTAAGGTAAGCAAAACAAATCTGCCCCTAGCAGCCATGGAAGAATTCCCTTTATACTTTTAGGCATTGGAGCTTGGTGAGTCAAGAGGCTAGCCTTTGGTTTGTCTCTCCGTCAACTTGACCATCACACCTTAAGGGTGGCTATAAGGGTTATCAGTCTCCCTATGCGCAACTTTGATCTTATCCCACCTCTTTCGCCACTCCTTTAAAGAAATCATGCCCATTTGACCTACAAAAAGATAAATAAAGGTTACACACTACTAGAGGATACCTATAAACGCATTAAAATATCTAAGCTTACTCATGTATTTATTGGGGGAGTCACCGCCCTCTTGCCACCGCTTAATTACTACATGAGACTCTGTAACTTCAAATTTCTCCAAGAGGCAAACCATTTTAGTCTCGCTGGCTGAAAGATATTTATAGTCATAGTCTGCAATCGCCGCAGGGTTGTTTGTCTAGACCAAAGGGAATAGAGGGGCTCCCACCCTTACAATGATTTGAGATCCCTCTCACTCTTTGACTCGTACAAACTTGTCTTCCAATTCTTGTAGTGATTAGAATGAGGTTTGAATATGGCCTTCCCCAAAAGTCCACCTAGGGTTACCCAACCCCATTTTGCAGAAATTCTAGTGGTGTAAAAAAAGAGAACACCCATACAGTGGGGGAAATCTCCAACCCTTAGCACACAATCTCAAATGCCCTAACAAAGCCCTAATTGTTGGGTACTAGCTGAGAAGGCACAATGTTAAAGAATCTCATAACTTCCACCTCGAAAGGGGGAAAAGGGAAAAGTACCCTCATGTCCTTAATGAGGGGGGGGGGGGGGGGGTAGAAGTAGAAGTAAGGAGATGAGAAGTAAGGAGAGATGTGCATATTAACCCTCTTTGTTGCTGAACAAGCCTCCAAGACAACCATCTCTTTGTCTTCTAATGAAAAGACGTCAACCTTCTTCTAAAAGGAGATTACCTTCTCATTGATAGTAAAAGGGGATCCAATATCTTTGACCTTTTTAGACACTATGGAAGGGGCAACCATTATCTCTATTTCTGGAAACACATAAGACAAAAAGAAACCACTACCGTCATCACAATCGCTAATATGACTACTAAGGCCCTCGATCTCACATAACTAAAAGCTCTATGCCAATCTAGAGCCACATGAAAAGGCCTTTCATCTAAAACCATAACCATTGTTGTTACAAAGGGGAAAAAGAGAAAGAATAAATACTTGAAGGGGGTTATGAAGAAGCTTGCATAAAGTTGGGATAGAAAAATGAGTAAAGAAAAGGGGAAAAAAGAGAGCAAATGAGTCCTTTTATATGAGAGTTTGAATTAAGCTCAGAAGTCTTTTAGTCTTTCCCTCAAAACACTTAGAATGCCCCTGACATGTGTACGGACCAGGTCTATTAATCGTCTCTAGGATATATTAATCGTCTCTAGGATAAATCATCATTGCTTATATTAAATGTAATCGAGCACTTTCATCACATGACTGATGCTTGATATCTTTCAGTTGACACATAAGTTACACGAGAGACACCTGATAGGGCTTGATGACTCACCTTTAATTGAGAGACTCGTCTCTAACTAAGGGACTCACACCTAACTGAACGACTCATCCCTAACTATAGAGCTAACCTAAAAGGAATATATGCCTTAAAACTACGAGGAGAAGCAGCTTAATCACTTCGCCCTTCTACAAGTGCACGTTCTTTAGGGATTGTGTAATGATATATTTGTAAATGCCACAATAGGGTGGTACGGAGGCCAAGCCTCATCAAGCGTTCTCCTTGGAATATTTTTGCCTAGGCATAATCCCTGATTAGTAGGTGGCTCGCCTTGATGAGAAATGTGTGGGGGTGTACATAATATATAATTAGATGTGCAAAAAATCTTGGTCATGATTCTCGATGAAGTAGGCAGTCAACAACTTCCTTAGTCAAGGAAGAGCGATTACTACTTCTTAGAGGTCCCCAAATTCAGGCCCATAAACCTCTACATATAGGTCAACCCTATGGTTGAGGAGGATCATCCTGGATACGCATAAAATACTCTAAATATAGAGTTTGTCACCCTTGTGAGCTTGCTATCTCCACACCAAAAGCACCTTTAACACATGATCTCTTATCATCGTAATTTTGTCCTAAACCACTATAAATTTTAAAATTTCTGACCACTTCTACCAGCATACACATATAGTACAAACAGAGTGTAAAGAGTGATGCTCAAATGAGTATAAACGACTATTGATATACTATACTATCATGCTCACTCTCATGCCTAGTTAAAAAGTGTTATAGAAAAAATAATTTAAAAAATCATAAATATTCCTCTTAGCTAATATCCTTAAAAAATTGGTTAAGTAGATGTTAATTCTTGGTAGTAGTCATAGTGGTTAGTTAGTTGGGCTGCTCACCTCCACGCTCAACTACCCCTCAATTACTTCTATTTTTGGTAACTACGTAGAAATTTAGATCTGAATAACTTCTATGCAGCAGATTTTTCTTTTTCGTAAAGTAAAATGATAAAAAAATACAATAATACGTGTGATCATGAAAAAATTGTTAAATAAAACACATTCAAAGAAAAAAAAACCTAGTGAAGTAATAAAAATGCACATACAAGCTACAGTGAAGGAAGACAACAATGTCACCACCGACAACCTTTTTCTCTGTCAACAACCACCTGACACATGGCGTGTTCTTCTCCTCATAGCGTGCACATTATACATAAACATGTTACTTATACCACCATAGTAGTTCTTCTCTTCTCTCTTCTTCTTCCTCTTCTTACTCTTCCACTAAGCACGTGACTCAAAACACAGACACATGTGTAACAGATAACCAAACCAAGTTTGTGTTGTTTTGTATTGCCATTTTGATTTACAAAAAGAAAAGTTCCTTTCTTTCCATCTGGGTTTCCTTTTTTTTTTTCTGTTCATTCTTTCTGCCAAAAAGTTACCATGAGAGCCACCAAAGTTGTGTTGCTTATGGTTTGGTTGTTTCCAACTATGTTTTGCACCAATGTGGAGTATGATCATAGAGCATTGGTTATAGATGGCAAGCGCAGGGTCTTGATCTCTGGTTCTATTCATTACCCTCGTAGTACTCCACAGGTTCTCTCTCTTTCTCTCTGTCACTCTGTTTGTGTTTTTGAGTTTTTGCATTGTTTTTTTTTTTAATCTTAAATGGTGTTGAATTTGTTGTTTTTATAGATGTGGCCGGGCCTTATTCAGAAATCCAAAGATGGAGGACTTGATGTGATTGAAACCTATGTTTTTTGGAACTTACATGAACCTGTTCAAGGCCAGGTTCTGTTTCCTTTTTTCTCTCATATCATCTTGCTGTCACTTTCAGCATTGCATTTGCATTTCTTCATAAGCACTTATGAAAGACTGTTGGGAAAGATTATGAAAACAACTCATGAAAACTTATTTTCATAAGTTTTTTATGATAGTTTATGAAAACAACTTGTTTATATGAAAACTGCTGGAATTTTCACCTTCATAGCGGTCCACCCCCTAGTCGCCTAAATTGCGACATGGCTTGTCTTCATTGCATCCTCCAACACCTTCATTGTGCTGGGTTTGAAGGGGTGAATTTAGTCCACATTGCTTAGAGATATGGTTTGTGTTGTGTTTTTAAGTGGAGGCAATCCTCACCTTACAAGGCGATTTTGTAGGGATGAGTTAGGCTCAATTTGAATTCAAAGATGGTATCAGTGCCTATCCTAGATAAGTTATTGGGCTTCTCACATCGTCCATACTTCAGCCTCATTGAGGCCCGAGCGTGGGGGTTTTGGAATTTCCGCCTTCATCTGCGGTCTGCCCCTAGTCGCCTAAATTGCAATATTTGACCTGCCTTATTTGCAGTCTCCAACACATTCATTGTGTTGAGTTTGAAGGGAGTGAATTAATCCACATTGCTTAGAGATATGGCACGTGTTGTGTTTATAAGTGGGAGCAATCCTCGTTTTACAAACCGGTTTTGTAGGGATGAGTTAGGCCTAATCCGAATTCTAAGAAAAACAATTAGAGATTACTTTATCTTCTGTAAAAAGAAAAGACTTTTATGCTGTAAGCACTTAATTTTGTTTATCCAAATAAGACTAGTCTAGCTTTGAATGAAAAATATAGATTAAGCTCAAAAAGACTATTAGCATTCATTGAAACGAAATGGATTTTTTTGCAGTATGATTTTGATGGTAGGAGGGATTTGGTGAAATTTATAAAGACAGTGGCTGAAGCTGGTCTATACGTGCATCTCCGGATCGGTCCATACGCTTGTGCTGAATGGAACTATGGGTAAACTTAAGTCCTTTATGTGTATTATATTTTTTGCTGAGGTGTTCATCTCTAATTGAGAGCTTTAACTTCTTCACAGTGGTTTCCCTCTTTGGCTTCACTTCATTCCAGGGATTAAGTTCCGAACCGACAATGAGCCATTCAAGGTAACCTAACATTCACCCTGCTGCCTCATGCTATTGTTATTAAATCTGAGTTCATTAGCTGGAAAACTTTGTCTCCAGACAGAAATGCAGCGATTCACCGCTAAGATTGTGGATATCATGAAGCAAGAAAAACTATATGCATCACAGGGAGGACCTATAATTTTATCTCAGATTGAAAATGAGTATGGAAATATTGATTCAGCCTATGGTTCTGCTGGTAAATCCTACATCAAGTGGGCAGCAAATATGGCTACATCTCTTGATACAGGCGTTCCTTGGGTCATGTGTCAGCAAGGAGATGCTCCTGATCCAATCGTAAGTTTTCTCTTTTAACTTTTCAACATTAAGTGTTTTTCGGTTTTTGGTGTACTAGATTGTTTGTCTGCTACATTCATTTTACTTTAACTGCTCACAGATTAATACATGCAATGGATTTTACTGTGATCAATTCACACCAAACTCTAATACAAAGCCGAAAATGTGGACTGAAAATTGGAGTGGATGGTTAGCATTTCGCAATTTAGCATCCTTTTTATAGATATCATTTCATTGAAATATATTTCTCCTAATGTGATTTGATGGTTAGCGTCTTTTGAATCCTTTGGATCGGTAGGTTTCTTTCATTTGGTGGCGCTGTTCCTTACAGGCCTGTGGAAGATCTTGCATTTGCCGTGGCACGCTTTTTCCAACGAGGTGGAACATTTCAAAATTATTACATGGTAATGCAACCTCAAATGCTGTGATAAGTCAGTGAAAAAATAAATCGGCGATAACTAAGAAATTAGCTGATACTGTATCATTTTTAATGCTGGCTCAAAAACAGTACCATGGAGGGACCAACTTTGGCCGAACTTCCGGCGGACCTTTCATTGCTACAAGTTATGACTATGATGCACCAATCGATGAGTATGGTATGCATTCCTTCAACCGTCATACTGCATACATTGTTCATGCTGTGGCCATCACAAATGTATATCAAATGTATGATGCAGGCATTATTAGGCAGCCAAAGTGGGGCCACCTTAAAGATGTGCACAAGGCCATAAAGCTTTGTGAAGAAGCATTGATAGCTACTGACCCCAAGATTTCATCTCTTGGTCCTAACATAGAGGTATAGTTGGTATGTATTGAAAATTTTAGTCTGTTTAAAAATCTTAATCCGCGTCTTGTAAGTTTCTCTCACCGGAAAAGAGTTAACTTTTTCCGCAATGACTATTCGGCGCACGGACTAGATTAGGTCTTAACAGTATTTTACTATTTAAACTGCAGGCGGCAGTTTATAAGACAGGATCTGTATGTGCTGCCTTCCTCGCCAACGTAGACACTAAATCTGATAAAACTGTAAATTTTAGTGGCAATTCATATCACTTGCCTGCATGGTCTGTGAGCATCTTACCTGATTGCAAGAATGTAGTGCTTAACACTGCAAAGGTTTGTCTTCCCTTCATTCGTGTGAAGTTGCTTGAATAATGATGATATTCGTAATAAAAACAACATTTTTATGGCAGATTAATTCTGCATCTGCAATTTCAAGCTTCGTAACCGAATCTTCGAAAGAAGATATTGGCTCTTTAGAAACTTCTAGCTCAAAATGGAGTTGGATAAGTGAACCTGTTGGTATTTCGAAGGATGATTCATTGTCAAAAACTGGATTACTCGAGCAAATAAATACCACGGCTGATAAAAGTGACTACTTGTGGTACTCTTTAAGGTAGTTAAGCCTTTAAGTTTGAAAGATATTTCCTCTGACCTATGATTATGTGCTTCTTGATAACACTTTTCTTTTAAATTTTTTATAAGTATTGGTCTTGAGGACGACCCTGGTTCTCAAACTGTCCTTCATATTGAATCACTTGGCCATGCCCTTCATGCTTTCATAAACGGAAAGCTTGCTGGTAAATGTTCATTAGGATTTTATTGTTTCAATTCAATTATGTTCTTCTTGAATTATTGAATAGTAACTGTCGATGATATTATTCCCGAATTCTCAGGGAGTCAAGCAGGAAACAGTGGTAAAGCAAAGCTTAATGTCGACATCCCAATCACACTAGTTGCTGGAGAGAACAAAATTGATTTGCTGAGTTTAACAGTCGGACTTCAGGTTCAGCTTTTTCGGTTGCGTTTGCTCATTAGTTTCCACCGTACATAGAATAACTTGCCAGTCCAATTAGTTCTCTCGACTCTCATTACTATATAAACTAACATGAAACCGAATACACATCAGAATTATGGAGCTTTTTTTGATACGTGGGGAGCGGGGATCACCGGTCCCGTGATATTGAAAGGATTGAAGAATGGCAACAGCACTCTTGATCTCTCCTCTCTGAAGTGGAGATATCAGATTGGCCTAAAAGGTGAAGAGTTAGGTCTGTCTAGTGGAAGTTCTGAACTGTGGAATTCACAGTCTACCTTCCCTAAGGACCAACCATTGACTTGGTACAAGGTAATTTTATTTTCATTCAAATTAAGGAAGTGCTACGATATGAAAATATTTTTGCTATTAACCAATGTAGTACATGTTGCATTAGACAAGCTTTGATGCTCCATCCGGAAGTAATCCGGTTGCAATTGACTTCACGGGAATGGGAAAAGGCGAGGCTTGGGTAAACGGACAAAGCATTGGACGATACTGGCCTACACATGTCTCTTCAAATGCTGGTTGCACAGACTCGTGCAACTATAGAGGACCTTATACTTCATCCAAATGTCGCAAGAATTGCGGAAAACCATCGCAAACATTGTAAGTGTTGGAAACATTCAATGAAAATAATATTGATCTACGATGTCACTGAAACACTAATTCCATCTCGCAGATACCATGTACCACGCTCGTGGTTGAAACCAAACGGAAATATTCTTGTATTGTTCGAGGAAAAAGGTGGTGATCCAACACAGATATCTTTTGCTACAAAACAGCTACAAAGTTTGTGTGCACATGTATCTCAATCTCACCCTCCTCAAATAGACTTGTGGAACTCCGATACAGAATCAGGAAGAAAAATCGAGCCTGCACTATTGCTCGAGTGTCCTGATAACAATCACATAATCTCTTCCATCAAATTTGCAAGCTACGGAACACCACTAGGTACATGCGGAAACTTCTACCACGGACGCTGCAGCAGCAATAAGGCACTGTCAATTGTACAGAAGGTGTTTATTTATCCTAGATTTTTCTTCCCTTGCTATTTTGAACCAAGTTTGTTGTTCTAACATACTCTCAAATGATGTTTGAACAGGCTTGCATTGGATCAAGAAGTTGTAGTGTTGGAGTATCGACCGATACATTTGGAGACCCTTGTAGAGGATTGACAAAGAGTTTAGCTGTTGAAGCTACTTGTGCATAGACATACATACATACATTTTGCTCTAAGAGCACACTTTCCACATTGTCTCCAACTTTTGGCTCAAATTAGAGTTGTATTCTAGAAACATTTCAAAAATATTTGTCAATTAGAATAGTTAAGTACCACTTGTAATAAAAGAAACAAAAGTGTGGTCCATATGGTGATGCAAGATACGTGATAAAATGGTGTTTTGTTATTGTTGTTGTAGTGAAAAGGATGGTGATGGTCCCAATAGAAGTTTGCATTCAGTGTGAGGAAACTTAACACTGAAAAGTTGAAAAATTGGACTTATGGAGTAGGGACTAAAGTTAGATTAGTTTGAAAATGATGTATTTGAAATTTTCAATCTTTAATATGTCCAAATTACATCAAATCATTTGTGAGCTTCAAGACAAATTGAATCTTCCACTAATAATTATTTAAACTAAATTTTTATTTGAAGTTGTTATGAAAAGTTTCTTTGAACTGTTTTTACATAAAATTATATTATAATATAAAAATCATTTTAAAATATTCTTTTTTGTCCCATATATGAAGAAATTGTATTGGGACTTATTCATATGCAAAATGATCTTGCCTTAGTAGTTACAAATACAACTACTAAAGCATTTTTTTTTCTTACGCATGTAAGCTAAGATTATCATACACAGAGTTTTAACCTTATCTCTATTGACCAATTATGTGATCTTAGTTATGAAGTTATCTTCTTTTCCTATGGATATCGTATAGAAGATCCAAGAGCAGGAAAACTCATAGATGATGAATGTAAGATCAAAAGGTTATTTGAGTTCACTAAGCTATATGTTCCTCAAGAGCCTAACATATGTGTTTCTTCCAAATATTCTTCCATTCTCGACGTTGGAATCATCTTCTTACTCATAATTATATTGAAAAAAATTGTGTCCTCGAGTGTCTCAAGGTTATTAAGTATTTGTCATACACTAGTCTCTTAAATTTTACTGCTTGTGGAACTGTTAAATAACCAACTTTATCATTTAATAAAAGTACCTTTATTTCAACTTCACCATTTAATTTTGTGCATTTAACATATTTGAGATCCTCAAATTTACACAAACATTTTTGATCTTACCGGATCAGACTTGAACCGTCACAGCTAGCTCAGACTGAATTTGAATGAAATGGGAGGTACCTGCAAGACACTCCGATGATAAAATGAGAGACGGAATGAGCAGGTAAGAAATACGTAGGTCTGTAATGAATGAATACCTGACCCTCTTGAAGTAGATGGTATTTATAGTCGACAGCGCTGGGCCAAGGTCCCCTCATTGGGTCGGCCAGAACTGATCCAATAAAGGGACTGCCAGGTTCTATGTGTGTAGTGGGGACCTGCACGTGGTCCCCTTCCTGGATGGTGCTCTGCGAAGAATGAGGAAGAACGTAGACGCAGTCTTTTCGGAGCCTTGAGGATTCCATAACGGTTAGAAAGGACAGAATCTGCCCTACGAGGAGGGTGCTTGAGCTGGATTCGAGCTGGAGTCCCCTTGGTCGGGGATGCTGATCGTCGAGGGAGACGGCGGGCATTGCGGTTGTAGTCTTGTGGTCGGGCACGTTCGGTGATGGTCCTATTGTGAGCATTCCCCGAGGAGCTGCTTGGATCTGGGCCTTTATTTGCACTTTGGGCCAAGGTGGACCTAGTCCAGAACAGGAGCCCCCCAAGTTGTTGTTCCTGGTATGGGAGTTACGACTTGATCTCAGCTTGCTTTTTCGTCGGGGACCCAATGCCCGACCCATGGCTTTTCCTTTTGAAGCGTGCTCGAGGAACTCTCATGGGAATCTCTAGGCTGCGTCTGTCGGGCACGTGGCGTAGCCCTTGGGAACCGCAACGCCGCCCTAGTAAATAGGGTCATCATTGCCTAGGCGGGTAGGTGTCGAGGATGGGGGAAGGTCGTGTCTCCCCGGAGCGACGTTTCACATTCCACGCCATCTCTATAAATAGGACCCTTGGGCCCATAATCTGTTTTTCCCTCTTCACGCTCCTCCTACATTCTCTGTTTCCGCTGCCGTTGATTCTCGAAACGTTGTGAGACCGTCGCACCCTTCGCCGTTGATTTCTCTCGCCACCGTCGTTTGTACACTTCTTTTTCCAAGTAAGCGTCCCTTCCTCCTGCTTTTCTGTGTTGTAGGTAGCTCTGATGATATTTTTGATGTTAGAAATCTATTTTTTGGAAGTAATGCCCGGTAGATTCAAGCGCGCTAGGCGCCTGATTCATGACTGTGCTCGAGATACTCATAGTTTAGGCACGTAGTTCATGATATTGCACGTGACATTCATAGTTTTAGGTGCGTAGTTCATGATATTGCCCGTGACCTTCATAGTTTAGGCAAATAATTCACGATATTGCCCGCGATATTCATGCGTTTGGTCGGCATACTCATGAACTGGCCGGAATGTTCATCCTTTTAGGAAGCGTGTAGGGTAGTCTTCTCGCGGTATTCTGGTGTCGGGTAGGCGAAGTCAGGAACTTGGTCGAGTCATTCAGGATTCTCCCGTGGCGCTCATGTTACGCTCGTGTTTATCCATGATCGAGGCGTGGTCGGAGCTGGGCGTTAGTGTTCGGCTTTTAGTCTGAACTGTTTTGTACTTCTCCCCGCCTCTGTGGCGAGCACGCGGATTTGCTGTCCAATTTACCGGTTTCCTGTGTTTTGCAGGTAAATAGACGATAATCCAGAATCCTCGAGACATAATGATGTCGAGGAAACAAGTACAGAAGAGAACGTCACTTTAGTCGACACCATCGACGACCCTGGGTGGGTGCCGAGCCCCGGGGGATTGCTTCGGCGTACTTTCATCGCAGTCGGCGTGCTTACACTGTTGTCGAGCATGGCGGCACTCAGGAAGGTTTTCAAAAGAATTTTAGGATAATGAGGCCGACGATTGACGCCCATATCTGCTCGAAGTTTACTGAGTACGCATTCCCCATGTACGAGATTGTGTTCAGGGATCTCGGTCTTAGGCTACCCTTTAGTGACTTTCAAGTCGGGGTGTTTAGTCATCTGAACCTAGCTCCTTCGCAGCTTCACCCCAACGCGATCGCCTTCCTCCGGGCGTTCGAGCTGACCTACTGTTTCCTCAGGATTGGGGCGACGATTCCCCTTTTCTTCAGAGATTTTCACCTGCAGCGTCAGTCTCGAGGAGGCAAGCACAGCTGGGTATCCCTAAAATAGTCGAAGAGGCTGTTCAGGATGTACATGGACTCGGTGAGGGATTTCAAAGATAAATGGTATGTGCTACAGCTGGTCACCCAAACTGCCCTGGACTCCCTATTCGAATCGGAAACCGTAGTGGTCGACGTGGATGAGAAGCCCCTCGTGGATGCCGAGGGTAGTCCCGCAGTCGGGTGGATCTCCAAGTTCCCGATCCATTGGTGCGCGGGCCATTACGAGCATGGCACCGGGCACTATCATACCCTTGCGGGGAGCATGAGCGCCGAGGACGAGGAGGCCTATGTTGTTCTTTGCAAGTTTGTTGATAGTTTCTTCCCCGCCCGGTGGGTCACGAGGGAAGGGGATGACATTCTTGATGAGGATGACTACCCGATGTTCGAGGCGCGTCCCATCAACACCAAGGCGCTCGTTGAGTGCCAATCCTACGGGCAGGCCGTAGATCTGCTAGGTTTCTTGCTTCTGCTCTTATTGTTTTATTCCATTTTTATTGTTTTTGCTCGCTTGTAGCTAACCCGGGTTCATCCTTGTTCGCAGGTCATATGGCTGAGCGTCGAGAGAGGCTTTTAAAGTTGACCCAAGACAAGAAGATAAACAAGAGGCTGGTGAGGGCACCACAAGCTACGAGGATGGGCCCGCCAGCCAGTTCGGGCGGAGATGCGTCCAGCGGATCCTCGGGCTCTCTCAATGCCGAGCAACCTACTGAGCTGGTTTCCAGGAAGAGGAGTCGGACTGAGAGTAGATCGGAGACCGGTGATGAGGCCGTAGCTGCCCGCGCCTTCGGCTTGCCGCCCTGCTTTGCAGAAAAGGATTTCTTTGAGGGGTTTCCTCTGACGGTGAGTGATAATGAGACCGAGACTATTAAACGGCTTGACAAAGAAGGCCGGAGGAAACACCTCACCGCCAGCATGGTCGGGGTGGTGAAGATGCCTGAGATGGCCGTGGTCCTTGCCGAGGAAGGATCAGAATCCTCAGACCGGGTTAGGGAATTAGAATCAGAGAAGGCTGCTTTTGCTGCCAAGTCACGTAAGTTAAAGGCGGCCCTCGAGCGGTCCAAGGAGATGTTCCGTGAGCAGGCCGACCTGCTGTCGGGGGAGAAGGAAAAGACTGCAAAAGCTGCCGAGGAGAGGGATTGCCTCCAACTTGAAAATGAATGGTTAGAGAGCGACAACCAACGGTTGTCCAAGGAAATCGAGGAGCTAAGGGCTGCTATGCTTCCTGCTGACGACGAGCTGGAGGAGATAGCATCTTTGTGTACTCATTCAGATTTGGTCGCCCATATCCACCTTCTCGAGTCAGACTGCGTCGGTGCCCTAGCCGATGGGTTCGAGGTCGCGGTCAGCCAGCTGTCCATCCTGAATCCGGGCATGAACACCGAGGGGGTCGGGTTCCTATCCCAGATTATTGATGGTCGGGTCGTGCCTCCTCCCGAGTCTCCTGATGTAGGTGCCAGTAGTCCTAGGGATGTTTAGCATTAAGTTTAATGTTTGGGCATGTGTGCCCGTGTATTTCCATGTTTTTGGGGCCTGCGTGCCCATGATAATTCTTGATTTACTTTGGCCGTTGTGCCATGGTTTGTAACCTCGAACATCGCCGGCCTTTTTGGTCGGTTCATTATTAACTTGTTTTGTGCATGTTTTTCTTTTTTATGTATGTTTATCTTGGCAATAATCTGCTCGTATCCAGGCTAGTGCTCGACTGCTATTTTCATAACGAATATTTTGATGAAGTTTTATTCTCGAGCGGAGATATTCCTTTCAACCCTTCTTGTGGTTCGACACACTTCGAAATGCATTGAATGCACGGAGTGGGATCCG